ACTAATTATGTAAAATTATTGCTCATGGACTTGATTCAGATTTATATTTAAAACCGTGCAATATAAGCATTAATGGCGTTACGTTTCCATTTATAGATGACCTGACTGAAAAATGTTGAATTGTATACCTGGATTATTGAGCATGGACTTTGTTGTTTCCATTTATAGATTTAGCAAAAGTTTAAATTCAGTTTAATAAATCACCTAACTATAACAACAGTTTCATTTAATGATCTCATAAACAATTAAATATATTTAAAAAAAAATAACTATCACCTGACATCATTTTAAGATCAAAGGCTTTGCATTTAGTCGTGTTTAACCTTGGTATTTTTGACGCGTGTATTCCTAAATACGTTGTAATAATTTGCATTTGATTTTTAAAAGTCCTCCTTCCCTCCTTAGCAGCTCATGTCAAGCGCATTCTTTGCACCTCAGGTTGAAGTGCTACGAGAAGAAGCTTGCTCGACTGTGGAGGGTGAGAAAAAAAATCTGATTAAACAATTAGTGTCAATTAGCCCCGACCAAATCATTCTGCAAACAATTGATCTCTAGTGCCCAACTTAATTACAGGCGACTTTCAACTCCTCACCAGTAGCCATGTCCTCCATGATTCATGTCCGACTCACGCTTGTCCCTCAAGTACTATCAATTAAATCAACTAAGTAAACAAAACATGGGGGGGCGAGGCAGAAAAAAGAAAACCACTGCTCTAGGTCTCAGGCCTTATTAGCATACCTCTACAAATAAATGTTTATCAGCCTTTGAACAATTGAACAGAATCAGGACAGCGGTGAAGCCAAACAGCGAGCTTCACGAACAAAACCAGATAATGGTCAGGGCTCGGGATGAATCTAAATATTCTGATTATGATTTTGAGTAAAGACTGACAATATGAACCAATAAAGCCTGCTGTTTATGTTTTGTCCTCCATAATGAAATATTTCATTCAGGTTTCTGAGAAATGCGCATTCAGCATCGTGATGTTTGATTCTGCAGTGCCACCAGCTCAGACATGTCCAAAAATGTGAGGACTTCAACAGACAAACCTTTAAACAAATACACCAAACAAACTGAATGTGCAAAACGAGTGAATGTGGAAAGGGGGGGGGGGGGGGCAACAGCAGGCACTATGACGTTAAATTACCCTGGTGATGTATAGCTTAATGAACACCTTGTGTTGATCACGCTCCACATTAATCAGCAGCCATGAACAGATTCGCTTATTTTCTCAATGCTGCCCTGATAAACTGCAATTTCATTTAACCTTGGACAGCAACTTTAATAGCTTCCACAGGACAAGTGTCAATACTTGCCTGGGTATACAGTGATTAAATTGCAAGGCGAGAAGTGTGTCCAAGCTCTTCTGCTCATCCTGTCTTCATACTACTACCCCCACACCCAGCTGATGCCTTTTATTCTGAACCACAATTTGTACTGTCACTCTCCCAGTCTGCAGCAAGACCAAAAACACAGCAAAAGATACAGATTGTTTTATATGTTCATCCATCCATCCATCTATCTATCCATCTATCTATCTATCCATCTATCTATCCATCTATCTATCCATCTATCCATCTATCCATCTATCCATCTATCCATCTATCCATCTATCCATCTATCCATCCATCTATCTATCTATCTATCTATCTATCTATCTATCTATCTATCTATCTATCTATCTATCGATCTATCTATCTATCTATCTATCTATCTATCTATCTATCTATCTATCTATCTATCTATCTATCTATCTATCTATCTATCTATCTATCTATCTATCTATCTATCTATCTATCTATCTATCTATCTATCTATCTATCTATCTATCTATCTATCTATCTATCTATCTATCTATCTATCTATCTATCTATCTATCTATCTATCTATAGATAGATGTCCGTCTGCAGAGTGGCTGCCAAGTGGGTCTGGATCAGGGCAGCCACAGACACAAGGGCTGATATTACACACTTTATTAAAAGTAAACAACATTTTGATTAGTCTTAAAATAATATTTCAGGTCCTTTAAAAGCTGGTTTCTGTGAACAAGTCATGAATGATTAAGAAAAAAGGTTAACTTCAGTTTGGATTCATGACCTAATAGTCTGTGCCCGTTAATCTATCAAAGTAGATTGTTGCCATTTTTAAACAACTCCAGACAAAAACAAGTGATAGTGATTTACTCAAACACATTTTTTTTTCTTTAGACTGCTGTTAATTTCACATTACAAAGCTTTTTCAGCCGATATATTATGATAATCTGCTGGGAGTGAGACAGCTGGTGTAATATTAAATTAATTGTGATGTAAAGGCTTTTACATGAACATATTTTTGTTTGAACTCTGTTTAGATCAAGGACCTGCTCAGACTGGCTTGTCAGTCGTGTCTTATCTTGTTAAGCAACCACCAAACTAAGATTGTTCCAAGGGTTATCCACAACAGGTAAGATATCATTTGCTCAACAACTTTGCCACTCTTCAAAACATCTGAACTATGTGTTCATTTTTTCAGGGGTAAGATTTTGTTTGTTTTCCAACACATTACATGAAAGTGAACATGCTAAAATCGTTTTAATCTTTCCTGAAACTTCTTGCACAAAATCACAGGAATGTGCGTTGTGCAGTCTTCATTATGTCATCACAATCATCTGCCTCTTTTTAAAATTCTTTTTAGGTTTGTTGTTGACTGTCAGCTCAGTGGTCAGGATGAAACAAGACAGTGACAGCAAGTGACCTGAGGCCTGTCATAATGATTTTCCATGATATCCTCCACCCTTGTCAATTTAGCATAAATTACCAGCCATGAAAGACCTGCTGGCTGATTAAAACCAATTGTCTGGGTACACAGTAAAATTTCCAGAGTAAAATTTACTCAATTTGAAAAAAAATTTACTCTAAAAAAGATAACATTTGGTCCCAGTCTAAATAGAGTAAAATTTACTCTCATGGAAGAGTTGAAATTTCAGAGTAAAATCTACTCTATTTAGTGCAAAAATTTTAATCAATGCCAAGAGAATTTACTCTAAGTTGTTTAAAAGAAAAACTACTCTACTGTATTTTAACTCCAAGTGGAATATAATTTACTCTAAATAGAATTGCATTCTATTCCAAGTAGAGAAAACTTTTAGTCTGACTAAAAAATAATTTTACACAAAATAGAATAGAATTTTATTCCACGTAGTATCAAATTGTGCTCTTAATGGTGTAAAATTTTACTCCTAATTTTATTTTATTCCATATTGTGCAGTTAAACATTAAATTAAATTGTAAAATAGAACAAAATGTAACTTTATTTCACTCACTAAGCAATTTTTTTAGCCATTATACACATCTGAGTTTGTAAGAGTACAATGCATAGACCAGAAATCAGTATTTGAACAGCCATTTTTATTGTTCACAGGAAACAGTATGGAACAATATAAACATTTGCATCTTCATGACTGTATGACACCTGTAAATCAAAAGCTCTGGCACAGAAAAGCTCTTCTACATAAATAACATGAGGTCCATCTCTTGTACACAAAACTTGAAAAGCACTGAAATGCTCATTCAGACACACTGTTTGCAGTGCAAATGTAACAAACAGTAACCTCTCATCTTTCACAACAACATTGTAGATCTTATGGAAAACTGGCATTTCACAAAACATTTCTTTACAAACAACTAAATCTGCACGATACATATTTCCATGGTGTTTGGCCCATTTAACATTTAATACTTTGGTGTTGATTGGTAACTGAAGAGTCTCTGCTATCTCACAGCCCCACTTCAGTACATTTAAAGGCACCATTTTACCTGGTCCAATGGTCAGTCTCTTGTGGTCAAATGTATGCCAACTGAAAGCAATGTGACTTTGATGCTTTAATGCCAGGGTTTTTGTAACATTTTTAAAACTTTTCAATTGTTTTTTAAAGAAATTGTGTTTAGCTTCGTATCGCATGCACCAGCTATGTAGAATTGGGCCTATTTTGAGTATGCATGTAGGATAATGCACCATAAAATGATGCTTTGGGAGCAACTTTTTTTGTGGAAACAAATGTTTGAATAACCTGTGATGTTCGGCAATCAGGTGTTTTAAGAAAATAGTAATGCCTTTTGATAACACTGGTGAAAAAACAATATTTACTATGTGAAGCAACAGCTGCAGCAAATACCAGTGCTGATCATTTGGACAAACTAAGTCTCCAAAGATGAGTGGTAGGTTACGTAGTAGACACCAGGACTGGATGGCATTTAACCCCAAGTCATTTGAGTCTTCTACCAACTTCACTGCAGGTGGTTTGTTGGTTTGTTCCATGTAGCCATAGTTAAAGCTCCTTATTCTCCTGTCTACATCCTTTAATGTTGTGTACTGGTCAACTACATGCAACAAAATCAGCTTCATTTCATATTGTGCCACTCCTTCCAAGATATCATGCATAATATCAACTGAGAAGTTTTCACATGTACTGAAGTACTGTAGTGAATTTAGAATGCATGACTTTTTAAGTCAAGGACATATTCTACTGGGTCTACACGTCCCCAATTATCTGCCAAAAAACGAGTTCTTTTACTTTCAGAATTTAATATCTTGAAAGGATTTTCCATTTTCTCAAAACATTGATCAATTTTGCACTCAATGTCACTTTTGACAGGTTCTTGTAAAGAAAGACTGTTTTTCACAGATTCTTTTGCTTGATTTTGAAAATCATTAACTATTTCTTCCAGGGAAATTACCAAAGAGTTAATTGCTCTTTCACTTACACCTGCAAATTTAAGTTCTGCAACTGCTGTTGCACAACTATGCACAAGAGATTTCTGAAGCGGGACTGTATCAGAAGCAGCACTCATAGAGGGCAAATTTTGACTTTCAAATGTCTCTTCAGTTGTAGATGGGCCTTCACCAGGATTACAAGTGTGTTTATCATGTGCTTTATTGAGATGCTTTCTGAACCCAGAAAATGTGCCATAAACTTGAGCACAACCTGCCTGACCACATTTAAGACGAAGTGTCTTACCAGAGCAAAGTCCGTGGATCAATTTTAAGTGCTTGGTCAGAGAATTAGCATTTGTCTGGTACTTCTTACAAATGAAGCAGAACATTCCAACTCAACTTAATACTGAAACAATCATAGCAAAACAACTATTTAACGCAGCATCCGAGCCCTCAACTCTGCAACCCTAGGATTTACTTTGGTTGTCTCAACATCTATCTCATAAATGGCGGTCTGCAGAAAATTGTACACATTGACCAGATCATGGTCATATGAAGTGCCGAACACAAAGTGAGCTTTAAAAAGCTCATCAAAACAGGCTAGAGGGCCTGGTGATTTACAAGGTATGGCATGTTTGTCAATCACAATGAAGTACTTGTGAATAACGCCCCTCTGAGTCCCTACTGCAAGCAGGTAAGGTTGACGCCTTTCTGCGATGCCATCAAGGTGCCCCTGGATGCTGGTTCCTGTCTGTGGTAAAAACAGAATAAAACATGATTAGTCTTGGGTTTCAAAGAAAACAGGGTTCTTATAGTTAAGGCAAATTACTTTTCAGGACCTCTTTAATGTTACTTGAAATGAAATTTCAGACCAACTTCACAAAAAATACAAATAAATAAAAATAAGTGAAGAATAGGGAATTTTGATCAACATAAATATTCCCTTAGCTGTAACCTTACCTTGACAAACTTCACAAGATGTTCAATGGCTGCTCTGGCTGAGAGTTTTCCTGGTCTCTTCCGGCCATGAGGTGACGGTGGCAGGAGGTGCACAAGAATCAGAATGGATGACATGTCACTGTCCCATCCTGGAAGAAAAGATGAAATAAACATAAGCTAACAGAACTTCTTTGCAACCGTGTTAACACTTCCAGAGGAAGCTTACCAAACAGTGACGGCAGAAGGAGGCGCACTTATATTGAATCAATTTACATAAAATTATGTTACATTAAACACCGTCTTTATAATCCAGTCCAACTTACCATTTTGCACCTCTGTTGTGCCTTCAGCATTGTGAAGAAGGTTCTCAAGGTCATCAGACTGTGTGAGACCACGGCTTTGTTCGAGGACTTTCTGCTTGTAGACAGTGGGCCACTTCTCCAGGAATTTTGCAGAGATGGCTTCCCCAAACATCAATGTAAAATCTTGCTCAACCTGGAGAAGAGATGAAGGTTTTAAAAATCATTTTGTTAAACTTTCTCACGCCCACCTCAATTTAAACTTTATAAAAATAGGTTAAGCTGAAGTGAAGATAAGCATACCAATCCTCCCATGTCCAGGAATCTTGGGAAGTCCAAAAAGATACCAGGTGACTTCACTGGGTCATGAATCATCTTCTGGCGATAGTTGAAAGTCTGTTTCATCTTCCTCATTACAGTTCCTTCATCAGTTGTGTGCTTCATCAGCGCAATGGCTTCAGAACACAAGCTGTCTGTCAAAAGGCAGTCTTCTTCTCTCAAACAGTCTCTGTCAGTTGTTGGTCCCCCTAAAAAAACATTATATGAATGGGACACTCGATCTTAGGATTTAATAAATAAGGCTTGGGAACCTATTGTGCAGTTTGGTTGTAGGATAAAATTTGTACAAGTATAAATACACATACCTGTTTGGGTTTGTGACAGTCTGGGGACCTTCTTTTGTCCATTAGAAGCTTCCCTCTGGACAAACTTCAGTCTCCAAGCCAGATACCCACTCCCATCTTCTGCATTGTAATAATGCTCCTAAAAGTAGGTGAATGATAAATGTTTTTAAAGCTGCGAAAGTAAAGACAACCGTGAATGATAGTAGCTATGATTTACAGATTTTAGTTCCCATTGTTTGAATTACATAAATAAAATCTCTTCACAATGTTTATTCTTCAAGCTGCAGTAGGTCAACACTGGAACAATAAACTCTACAAAAGTTTTAAAATTGGAAAGTTAAAAACAAGTGGCACAGATGCAGGGGATGCAACAGAGAAACATTTTCAGTTCTACTCAAACCATAGCCAACAAGTTGGACTTCTGTTTTGAACTTACATAGCCAAATCTGCTCTTAGGATCAGCCAGGTAAGGGAACAAGGTAATAATACCCTTTGCATAGTCCTCTTTGATACGTCTGGAGGGACTTGTCCTATATTGACACAGAAAAAACTCTGAGCATTGTTAAAGGTGTAAAGAACACCTTCAACAAAAGTAATTGTGAGAGGTGCATAGAAAAAAAAATTATTATTTCAGCATACCCATGTTCACTTGTCATATGTGCAACCAATATCTTGACCATTTCACGCCGTCTGGTGTCGGTTAGGCTTTTTGTCCGCGCATATTCATTGACGATCCTGTCTCCTCCTGGTTTGTTCTTTAGAACATTTTCAATCATCTAAAGTGATGGTAAAAATATAAATCGATACGTTGCAAAAACACTGTACACAAGACAATTACAAATCCTATTTTATTCCATAAAAAAGAGATAGTATTAAAAGAACTATAATAGTTATTAGTGGAATAGTAAGTTATGTTAAAAAGCACAAACAAAACTATAAGAACTTAAATTTTTTGGGAAGTCCAGAGCCTTCTATGCTAAGGATCTGGACTAAAATGTGCAGAGATATGCTGAAGGAAAAAAACACAGAAAGTGGTTTTAAGAGAGCAATTTATATAATGTATTCAAATTTTGTAAAAACTCTATGGAAGTCTGCACAGTAATCTGCATAGCTTACTTGGGCAAGAGAGGTGTCTTCAGCTCTATGTCTTGTTACAGGACTGTGTTGCAATATAATGGTGTCATCGGAGTCCACTTCAGTTTCTCCACTGGAGCTGGTGAAGGAGCTGCTTGCTGCACAGCTTAGCTGATCCATAGGATTATCTAAACATTTTGTTGGTAGAATTAACAGTAGTCAACACTAAAATTGAGAAAATGGTTCTCTCCCAAAAACTTTTTTTATATATAAATTAAGGTCACCTGATGAGCTCTTCTCACAAGAAACAGTATGATACAAACATAGATAACTCATGCACATTTATCTGTGTTCATTGTGATGAACCACTGAAACACTAGAAATAGGCCAAACCGTGAATGGTCTGTGATGTAAGATGTTTCCACATGTTGTGTGAAATGCTACAAAGGTGAACGCTTTTATGATCTCATCCTAGATTGGTGATATCAAATGGACATCAACATGTCTATACTGATCTGGAAAGACATTTCTATCCCTATTGGTCAAACCCATAAGGATGACCAAAAATAGTTCACAAAAATAAACAAATGACACTTTGCAACACCTTACCTTCTGGATGGAGATCTTGTGCTTCACAAATTTCCAGCACACCAAGGTTTGGACTTTTCAAAAGGAGCTCAAAAACCTCCTCATCCACTTCAGTCTTAGAATCATCAGAAACTTTTAAGTCCAAGGTTGGGATGCTGAACTTTTTTGCAGCTATGAACATAGCAAATTATTTATTTATTATATATTTGAACATATGTAAATAACAATTAAAAGACATTATAAATTAAAATTAAGTAAAACAGAATAATAAATCAGAAAAGTTGGTAAAGCACCCATTATGGCAACATTCCCAAAACGTTTTTGATAAACACAATATATGAAAATGTTGGAAACTTGTTTTGTTTGCACTCACCACATTCCAAAAATGAACTGTAAGTCAGTTGGCCTTCAAAACAGATGTATTTCTGTCGATCTCTATGTTTGACACGCACAGCTTGCATCCTGCATTATGTAAAATATGATATTTTTCAATAACAAATTATTATATATTATTCACTTTGATAACATACTTATCGAAGGGAATAAAAAAAATTAAGATAAGAGGTTGAAACTATCATGGGGAAGAAGCACTTGGTGGCTAACAAATATCCTTAATGGGCTCTTAATGAGCTAGGCGCTCTTGAATTTAGCCAATCAACACAACTAAAACGAAAACAAAACCACATCAGTTCCATACAACTCGATGCAAACGGGGTTTATGGACTAAATAGTCAATCACAATGTTTTACTGACAACTTACAGTTTGCATACAAAGCACAACTTTAATTATATATTTTTAATTGCTGCTCTACGTTCAAGAGAAGTTACTAGCATAGCCCTCCCGCGCCATTTTCTGGGCGGGACACATGCTAGCAGAGCTAGCTTCGATTGTACAGCTAGCTCCTCTTTTAAACTCCGTTCCTTAGCTTAAAATAGCAACAGCCTTGACTTATGCAAATAAAAAATGGACGTAGCATTGTACAACACTGATGTTTTTTTTCTGCTTACATTGTTGTAAACGGCTACATTAAGTTAGCTGAAGCACACATGCTAACTAGTTAGCCAACCATGTTAATTCCTCGCTGCACCCCTCCTTCCCCCACGACCACACAGCAGCACGTCATCTTTCCGCTAGAGATAATTAGTGTTAATAATAATAAAAAACAAATAAAACCCCACATGAAATATGTTTACAACCCATTTGGGCACTTACCTGGCACAAAGCAGACCGTCGCCTCCGGTCCAATGCGGGAAAACAAAATGGTGGAAGAAACGAAACTTAACGAACTTCAGTGGGCGTTTTTCTTGTTTTACTCCGATATGATTTACTCTGTTTTTTTCCTCCGATTCTATTGACCAATTGACACGATTTTACTCTATAATGTATAAACATGACTCTTTTAGATGAAAATAATGTTAACTCCGAAAAAATTACTCTTCTATTTTTCCTGTGTAGGGAAGGACAAGGCAACCTCTTTATTATATGATAAACTAAGTTAATGGAAGTCGACAATCTCCCCTCTGGGAAATTGGGCTGACTCTTAATTAAAGCATTGTGTTTCCTCTTCAAGATAGAGCCATCTTTCTATTATTCTAACATGAAATTAAAAGAAAACTTTGAACATGTGGGGCAACAAGCACACACACACTTCCTGTGTGATTTCTGTACATCCTGCAAATGTGCCAGTCAGACGACAGTCACCCTAAACTAATGATGCAAACGTGTTTTAATGGACTGGTTTGTCGAAAAGAAAAAAAAAAGACACTTTATAATTGCACTTAATCTAAAAATGCATTAATCCTGAAAACGTTTCATTTTCACATCTGCAGCTGAATAAAAACAAGACAACCAGTGTTGTTTTAGCTTTAACTGCAAGAACGTAACAAGTTCGACTTACTCTCGATGACACAACAGAGAAGCAAACATTTCTCTGCGCTGCGACGCTCGCTGGCTTCCTCCACCCACACTTGAGAGGTGACAAGCGTACACCCGCACTTCCATTATTATCCAACACAACAAGAATGCCTGCAGGAGGATAATTACTGAAACTTGAAGAGCCACGGTTAATCCTAAGTACTTCACTTTGTATGACTGCCTTGCCCGCCTGTCTCTTAGCCTGCCGCTCACACTGACAAAGTGTGCGATGTTGAACTCACTGGAGGTAAATAAGAAGACCTTGTGGCCCACAGATGTAGAAGTCAAGCCAATATAAGCCATCGCCTTGCTTTATGAAAACATCATGTGTTTGAAACACAGATCTTTCATCTCGAGCAACCTGACAAGCAGTCTGGGACATGAAGTGCTGTAAAGGTCACCTCTTCTCAAACAGTATTTTTTCTTTTTGTCTCCCTCATTTATTTAATTGCATTGAATATTTTCTTTTTTTTTTCTGATCTTTCAAAGTCGGGTTCTCTGGAAACATTATGAACAATATTATCTGTCTTTGTAGATAGTTTTAACCTTGGAGAGAAAAAAAACAAGTTTTTACTTCTGACCATCTTAAAACAACTTCAATCTAAATAATTTCACAGTGAACACTGTAAATCTTTACATCACTTGCAGTTCTGCATTACATGGTGAACACCCATCCATCCATCCATCCATCCATCATCTTTACCCGCTTCTTCCTTTTCAGATTGCTGGGCTCACTGGTGCCCATAACCATCACTATGCGAGAGGCGGGGGACACCCTGGACAGGTCTCCAGTCCATCACAGAGACACATTCACACTCTCACTCACATCTAGGGACAAGTTAGAGTTACCAATCAGCCTAACATGTATGTTTTTGGTCTGTGGGAAGAAACCGGAGTACCCGGAGAAAACCCACGCATGCACAGAGAGAACATGCAAACTCCACACAGAAAGGCCCCCGGCCGGGATTTGAACTGGAGCAACCTGCTCGCTGAGAGGCAGCAGCTCTACCAGCTGCACCACCGTGCTGTATTACATGGTTATTTACATAGAGTTTAGTGGCTATTTGCAAACATCATTAGCAGCAGCAACTAGTAGCTATAATGTAGCCAGGAAAGCTTTCTGCAGGAATATCCTAATATTTTATGAATTTTTCATATACTGTATTTTTCGAACTATAATTATTTTGCTCAATAAGCAAAATAATTTCATTTGGACAGATTTTTGATCGTTGTGTATCACATAAACTTGCTTCGAGGTCAGTAAGCACAACCAGCATTAATACATGAGGCTCACTGTCGATTTTTGAGAAAATTCAAGGATTTTAAGTGCGTCTTATAGTCTGAAAAATATGGTAATTCAAAATTAACAACAATGTTAATATATTTAACGTATTGTTTGAACGAACCACTTCAACATTTTTTTAAACTGGAGTGGTCTGAAGATGGTTTTGGCCTTTATTGGACTAGCCATTATCTCATGAGTTGAAACTTTTTCTCCTAACTGAGGTTCATCAAAGAGCTTTGCAAGAAACAAGACATTGATTGTTCATAACTTTTCCACAAACTTCACTTCAAAATATCTGAGCTTTTTTTAATTTTTTTATTGTGGTTGAAGTTTAAACACCTTTAGCTCATGGCTGTTTTCATTAACAACATATTTGCTAGTTTCTACTCTATACATCTCTGAATAAACTCAGGACGGAGAAAGAGAGTTTTTTTTTCTAACCAGATTGACAAGCTAACATTTTCAACAGTGCAAAGATCAAAATAGACTGCTGCCATCGTAAAACAACAAGAGCTTCAGGTCTTGAATGTTCTTTACAAACCTTTATTTTTTCAAACAATTTCACATTACACCATTATTTACATGTAAAAGCTATTTGCAAACGCAAAAATCTGCAGCGACAGCTAGCTGTAGCACTACCAGGGCACTCTCAGCAGACGTATAATATTTCTGCTAAACTAAATGTGCAATTCAAAACTAATATTCATCTATATTTTTAATGGCTTTTTGCACAAACTGCTACAATTATTTAGATTTTTGAGTTGTTTTAGAACAGCACAAATCCACTTACAGGTCTTGGACCAGCCATTTTCTTATGAATCCAATATAAACTACTTTCTGTTTTTCTACACTGGAGTTGTTCATATTTAAATCTACAACAGGGACGATATTAATTCTTCATATCATTGTAATAGAACCACACATCAAAATATCTGAACTACCCCTTTTAGAGCAGCCTTTTGATAAAAAGTGGGAAAAAGTGGTTAGTTTCATGAGCTGACGGTGGTTTTTAAACCTCCTCTGGCTGCAGGTTTTTACTGTCAGACATGCTGTGACTGACGAATGCTGAGACTGATCATTACTAACCTTTCCTGACACATTTTTCAAGGCAAGACCCATTACACACCATCCACTGTAATTCTCAGTGTATTTGCCATTTAACATGCAATCATCTTAATATAGGGAGAGAAATTATTGCCATCCAAATTATACCACTGACATCATAAACCATCAACAAATGTGAGCACAGTTAGGGAGCGTGTCCAGCAGAACAACTTTAAATTAAAGCTTTCAGACAGACTGATGGGAGATTTGATTCTATAGGACTGTGTTTAAAAAAAAACATAGAGACTTTTGACCTGTTGGTGGTGATGCCCAGCTTCTTTGTTTTGATTTCTGCTGCTGTCACAGACAACAGTAAAGCAGGGAAAAGTTTTAGTCCAGCTGCGTTCATTCAACCTCCCGTCCTGTCCTGCCCCACAAAAGCCGAGAACAGCTGGCTGATCGATATGCCCGACAAAAGGCTTCGAGGTTAGAGCAGTCAAAAGATTGTTAACTAGCCAATTTATTTGCCAGACATTTATAGCATTGTTTATGGTTCAGCGCACCCCTTCAGCTGGGCCATGCTGCCCACCTGTGCTTGGAACACTCTTCGAGCACTCTCCACGACCTCAGGGGCACAATGGAAGATAAACAGATTTGGTGGTGAAATGCAGGGATGAGATGGGCAGATGGATCTGAATGCACTGGAAGTGTGCATTCCTGCAAATGCATGCATCTGTACAGTAAAAGTTTGTGTGCACACAACACAAGGCGGGCCCCAGACTGTAACACATGGCTGCGCTGCCGCCACTCTGGCTCGGGTTGGGAGTTCTCGCACAGGCTGGCAGAGAAAAGGAGAGACCCTTTCTGTGGCTCACCCAGGCGGAGAGGGGCTTCCTGCACATCTTTTGTCACACCATTTGAGCCCTTGTGTCTGTGGCTGCCCTGCTCCAGACCCACTTGGCAGCCACTCTGCAGACGGACATCTGCTCTTTGCAACCTCCTGGTGGAACAGAGAAAACAACAACAAGCACACCCTCCTTCCATCCATCCATCCATCCATCTATCCATCCATCCATCCACCCATCCATCCATCCGTCCATCCATCCATCTATCCATCTATCCATCCACCCATCCATCCATCCATCCATCCATCCATCCATCCATCCATCCGTCCATCCATGTCAACATTAAAAAAGCACAATCATAATAATATTCCATGCCATGTCTTTGCTGTAAAAGATGGCGTATAATTGCTGATGAGCCTAAAGTAAATAAACCTTTGCCTTACCTTTAGAGAAAGATCCCTGACAGAAACGCCCTCAGATTATCAGTCTTTTTTTATATTATTATTAAGAAGTATAGCTCTGCATGGCCTTTTTCTCCAAACAACAGAGTGATTCTGCAATATATTGAACGGACTTTGTTCGTGCTCAGCGGCCCAGAATAACTCGGTCATTATGGTGGCAAGAAAAAAAAAAAGGGGGGGACAGGTTTTAGAGTTTGATTTCATGATGGTAATATAGTCCATGTGTGCAGGAGAAGGAGGAGAGAAAAAAAGCCTTCAAAGGGGGAGGACATCTGTTCAGTGCGGCTTACAGTTACAGCCGAAAGGACCAACCTGCGCGCGCCATCTGAGCTCCAGCGCAACAGGCAGCAACCAAACTTCTATTTTATGTCTAACTATAAATGTGATCTTGCAGATGGGGTGAATAATCTCCTGCACCTCTGGGGGCTTCAGCAGCCATGCTTCCTCCCGGGGAGTTATCACTGTGACCTTTGACACGAGTCCTGCTGGTACGATCACTTAGTAATTTGTCACCAGAGGGCAACATGCCTCCTGCGCTTTAAATGCGTAAAAGTCACCACTGCGCGCCTTTAAAAAAAAAAAAAAAGCCTTGCCATTAATATAAACAAACTAATAAATAAATAAATAAATAAACATGAATTTAAATAAACGATTAATTGTTTTCAGCTAAATAACGATCCATAATTTAGATGCGTTTCCAACATTTGCGCGCACAATCAGGCGCATGAGATGGAATCAGGGGACCTGGGAGTTCTTCCTAATTGAACTGCCGGTGTTAACATGGCGCGGAGTCACACCGGCGGCACGAGAAGCTGTGTTTGACTCGGCTGAGAGCCAAAAGATACCGGGAGGAGGTCAATCCGAGCTGCAGAGCGCGCGTAACGCTTTACTATTACACCTCCGGGTGCTTCTAGATATTATTTTCAGTTTGAGTTCTTATTTTATTTTTTATTTATTGTGTGTAACTAAATTTATGGGAATAAAAAAACGAACAGAAGCAGTTACATAATCCAGCAGACGTGGACATTATGGATTATTAGGAGAATTTATTTACCTCGACGCACGCATGAGGTGAGAACGAGCACGTTTACATACATTTGTAAAATAATTGACAGATTTTTGTATTTAATTAAATTAGACATATGCTGCAAGGTTGTTTATTAAGATTTTTTTTTTTATCATTGTCAACCTGGTGAGGATTTTTATATAAAGTGTAATCAAGGGAATAATTCTGTTTTTATCACATTTTATTAAAAGTGTAAATTAAAAGAAAGAACAGTTAAAAAAAAAAGAAAGAAAGAAACTGAAGGAGAAGATGCAGTTGTCCAGTCCTGGAAACACGGGGATTAATCAGATCGACCATCTATCACGCTGTGCAATAAAAGGAAGAGACATGGGTTAGGCAGATGATGTGATGAATAATCCCTGGTCGTTTTAATTAACTTTTCCCTGTCCTGTAATGACCAAGCTGGTCAACAGACCCGGTCAATAAGCATGTTAATATCAAACAAATAAAAAAATAAAAAAAACCTGCAGATGATTAAAAACCTCCCGCGTTATTAAATTTGAAATTCAAATGAAATTTATGCTCCCAGCGCACACTGCATGTTAATAGCTCCAATAGACAAGGTTCAGCACGCGCGTTTTTTATTAAGTTTAGTTTAGTTAAATACAAATTCTTATTATGTAACACCAGCTTCCCTTATTGAATTGTTTTTATTTATTTATTTATTCACGTCAATTAGATTTTTCACCAACAAAATGCGCTCATTTAAACTTCCTCTAAATGTTAATATTTGTTATATTTTATTTTGAAAGTCACCCACCTCTCATCTACTGTTTTAATCTAAAATAACCAATAATGAAATGAATGACCCCCACCCCCCCCCCCCCCCCCACCCACCACCCCTCCACACCCTCACTACCCAACAAATATCCTTCCACACCCGCTAACAACAC